ATGGAAAAAAAAGTACAGAAAAGAGGCGGCTCATTACGCCAAAGGGGCCAACGCACCCCTGGAGGAGCAAAAGGGCACAAATCGTCAGCCAAATCTGCTAACGACCCAGCTGGCACCAAAGTCCTGGGCTGGACTCTACTGTGTTAACCTGGAGATTTTGGGCCTTGGGATCTAGGTGGGGGAAAAAATCTAGTCAGTAATTAGCTGTAGAGAGTCAAGGGAGAGAACTGCACCCAAGGCAAATGTCCCTGATTAGGAGGGACAATCCCTCACCTTGGGCAAAATCGACCAGTATCGGTCACTTGTCCACTCTGGCCCTGCACTAGTCCTTTCCTCGTCTAAGGTCCCTGTTTGTATGACAGAGCCCGTGCTGGAGCCAGACAAGACTGGAGCTCCCCTGGTCTGTGCATTCATGTAAACTGAAGAGGAGAAACCAGAGCTGGCTGGGTTTCTGCACAGTCTTGATACGGTTCCTGGGACTAAACGAACCTGAACTGGATCTCTGTTCGGGCCCACAATGCACTGGGTCATAGGCACAGACCAAGCACATGGGCTTCTGGGATTCTACCAGCTGCACAAGGTGACACGGCTTTGCCTTCCTCTGGGCCTAGTGCCGGAGGTAGGAGAAATCTATTGCCACACTCCCTGCCCTCCTCGCTGTCAGATGTGATATTAAGCACCACGCTTCTCAAGACCCCATAGTTACAGCCCGGCAAATGTCCTGCAGTGCATTCTGGGGGCAGCTCTTTGCCCTGCTTTAGGTCTGTCTCCCGAGGCTTATTTATCATGTCCTGAAACAGTTTTCAGGACCCGGCCTGATAGCAGGTATCATAGTCTGGTGCCAGCCAGAGGATGGGCCTTCCAGTGCTTGCTTTCTCTCTGCAGCAACCAGACACATTCCTTGCTGTCTACTGACACCTCGTGGCTCCTGAGTGAAGTTCCGTTCACCCAGCATGGCTGGCCCTGTGCATGTTTCCTCTGCTCCCTTGTGGCTCTCCTGGGTCTTCTGGGATCCTAACAAAGTAGCCGCTTTGCTTAATGTTCTAGTCCAGGGGTAGGCAACCTATGGCACACATGCCGAAGGCGGCACACGAGCTGATTTTCAGTGGCACTCACACTGCCCGGGTCCTGGCCACCGGTCCGGGGGGCTCTGCATGTTAATTTAATTTTAAATAAAGCTTCTTAAACATTTTAAAAACCTTATTTACTTTACATACAACAATAGTTTAGTTCTATATTATAGACTTATAGAAAGAGACCTGCTAAAAAGGTTAAAATGTATTACTGGCACGTGAAACCTTAAATTAGAGTGAATAAATGAAGACTCGGCACACCACTTCTGAAAGGTTGCCGACCCCTGTTCTAGTTATTTGACAGATTGTTTATGGGCAATGCTTCTGCGTCTCTGTTCTATCAGCAGAGGCCCTAGCTTCATCATGGTACTGCACATGGACCTTGATCAAAACCCGCCATAGATGTTATTCTTATTCGTTGTTCCTTTAAGGACCAGGGCCGGCTCCAGGCACCAGCGCAGCAAGCAGGTGCTTGGGGCGGCCAACGAAAAGGGGCGGCACGTCCAGCTCTTTGGCAGCAATTCGGCGGCGGGTCCCTCAGTCCCTCTCGGAGGGAAGGACCTGCCGCCCAATTGCCGCTGAAGAATGAAGCGGTGGTAAAGCTGCCGCCGATCGCGGCTTTTTTTTTTCTTTTTCCGCCGCTTGGGGCGGCAAAAACGCTGGAGCCGGCCCTGTTAAGGACCATCCGTCTTTCCCCCTCCCTCAGAGATACGAAGGGCTCGGAGCATGATAGCAGTGAGGTTTACTCCAGATTTACGTCAGTGTTGCTGAGAGCAGAATTTGGCCCCATATATGAAGGACCAGATCCTCGGCTAATCTAAATTGTCACAGCTCCATTGACTTCAATTGAGCTAGGATGACTTATACCTTATGGGCCAGCTCCTCCACTTGTGTATCAGTTAAGGTTACTCTGAAGTCTTCTCGACACACAGAAGTTGTCCTGGGTAAACGCAAATCATTTTTTTCACTGATGCAAAACCCAGTATGGACACTTATTTCTGTTCTAGGTGTGGCTTGTTTTGGTTTAGTTTAAATTTGTTCCTAACCAGAATCAGCCTGGTTTAAACCAAAATAAGTGTCCATACAGCCTTTTGCACCAGGCTTACTTAAATCCATTTAAAAGGACACATGTACGTTAAACTGATGTGACTTTCCTATGTAGACTTGTTTTAAGATAAATCGATGTAAGCCAGGTTTATATCAGCTTAAGTGTGTCCACAATATCCTTTGCCATTAGTTTAACGCAACTGATTTTAAATCACACCTGAGAATCTTGGCTCTTGAAGTCAATGGAGTTGTGTTAGCATAAAATTGCAGTAACAGTGGTGGTCAAGGCTCCTTAACTTTTGCATTGCCTGAATTTTGATGGTTTAAAATGTAAATTTAATGTTGCATTCACATCAGATTTATCCTTAATTTCCCTGTTTTATAAAAGAAAAAGTAAAAGAGGAGATTGGTGTTTTAATCTCTGTATTTAGTTTGCTCTAATTCCAAAGGTTTCAGGGTAGCAGCCGTGTTAGTCTGTATCCTCAAAAAGAACAGGAGTACTTGTGGCACCTTAGAGACTAACACATTTATTAGAGGATAAACTTTCGTGGGCTACAACCCACTTCTTCTTCTATATGCATCCGAAGAAGTGGGCTGTAGCCCACGAAAGCTTATGCTCTAATAAATTTGTTAGTCTCTAAGGTGCCACAAGTACTCTAATTCCAAAGGTACCTAGTAAAAATCTTATGCAGTTATGGTCATTCCCAATGAAATAGCAACTCAAAACTGCCCCAGTGCAACTATGGACAACCTGTGTGTGTTAATATATTGTCCTGTAACTAGTAACATAACTTTGACGTCAGAGAAAATTTCATGCTGCATATGTGCCAAACTGACTTTTCCCAGATGTGAATATCGGTTGTTTTTGTATTTTTTTTCCGGCTTATAAAGTTCAGCCATTGTTTTCTTCTTGTGCATGTACAAAAGGCTTTGTTTTCATTATAATAAAAAAAATAATATTCTTGTAAACCTGTCTGGGAAAAAAATCAATAATCATCTTTGGCGCAAGGCCAGCCATAAAGGTGACTTTTTTCAGAAAGTTGTAAGTCATTGAAAACTAGGGGGTTGTAATGAAAGTCCCAATGTAACTTGAACTGTGGCATTGACTATAATGCCATAATGGTAATGGAATTCACATGCCTTTTGCCCTGATCTCGCCTGCTGTGATTCTTGCGTTAGTGTTCAGACCAAATTCAGATCTGGTGTAAAGCGATTACAAGGCTGTTGAAACCAGTGCAGCCGTACCTGCTTACTCCACGTCTGAATTTGATCCCTTTGTGTCGTATTAGGCCCATGTCATGCAGCCATTGCTACTGTCAGATAGGGGCTGGTTCCAATGACTGACGTGCAGAAGGAAATGCACAGCCCTGGCCAACACAGCTGCACCACCGCTGCATACAGGGCTAGCCAGGCCGCCCCCGCCCCTGGCAGTGGAAAACTAGACAGTTCTCATGGAAATCCCACGAGGTGGAGCTCTCTAGCTTCCCAGCCCATCCCGGTGCCTTGGGTCAAAGGAAGCGGGGTGGACTCACATCCATCTCAGCGCTTGAAAGCTTTCCCTTGAATGGCTAGTGTGTGGGTTCTTGTTATTGGCTGGGCTGGAGAAAGCAAACAGCGCACCCTTGGAAGGAATTCTCCCCTTGTTTTGGCTGCCGATCCAGGGCTGGCTTTTCTGGCTGCGAGGGAGCGACTGGAAAGCAGGTTCTCAGAGCAATCACTCTGTGCTGTCATCCGTCCATCTCTCTGTTTGTCCTGTATCCAGAACCCTGGCAAATATTGCTCCGGGATAGTGAGGGAGAGGGCGGCCTGCTTCCCAGCTGCTGCGGAGGCCTGGAGTTTTGTTATCCCAGCTGATCTGGTACATCTTTGCGGGGAGTTGGAGCTGGCTGGACCTCTTGGAAAGGAGCAGAACTCTATCTGCTGGCCGAGCCCCGTGGGCAAGGGGCTGGAGGCTACTCCCCCAAAAGAATCTTGGACCAGTTGTACCATCTCAGTTTGCCGGGACACAGAAGGTGCCTCATCCAGACGTGGCAAATGAAAATGGCAGGCTGTAGGGAGGGTAGGGGCAAGGGTGGCTCTTAACTGTGGGGAAACCAGCGACACGTAGTTGCTCATGGAGTCAGTATGGCTAAGCGGCGAGAGCACTGGACGGGCATGCGGGAGGCCTGTGCTCTATTCGCAGCTTGCCATGGGCCGGCTGGGTTTCTCTGTGCCTCAGTTTCCCATCTGTGTAAGGGGGATAATACTGCACTACTTGCTGTATCATTGGTAGATCTCACATGCTCTATAAAAGCTAGAGATTATTATTATTATTATCACACTCATAGCTCGGGTATTCTTGCCCCTTCAAATGACCAGTGTAGACTCTACCCCGCCCCCCCCCCAAACACACACACTTGTCTTCGAATGAGTGGGTAAAATTGTTTTTATATTCACCCTCAGCACAGCCAAGAACGCCAGATGTTGCCAGTTGCCTTGGGAGCTTCCTATGGCATCGTAGATGCAGCCTGCCCAAGGAAATTTGGGAATTTTCTTTCTTAATTCAGGATTGGCAGCAATCCAGGAGCCTGCCACTGATGTCCTTTGACAGGCTGTAAAATACCTGGGGACAAACTAGATGAACCAATGGGTCTCCAAGCCATCAGTCCCCAAGAAACGAACACACCTGCTCCCCACTTCACACATCTCCTTGTGGGTCATTGCCAAAGATGGAAACACTGTTGGGAGTTCTAAGCATGAGAACCAGGAACTCGCTACATGCAAAGCTAGCTTGGTATAGTAATCCCAGGCCAGGGGCAGGTGGGTTCTAGCGAAGCCTGCGCTGTTTCATTCAGGGCAGGTTTTGAGGGTTGCTCCCCCGACGTGGGATTGACTGTGGCTGTTCCCACCTGAATTCTCCCATCATGGCTCTGTCCCCATCTGATTCTTGTTCTTTCCCTCCTAGGGCTGATTTTCTACGTCCTGCTCAGATGGATTCTGGCTGTTGACTTATTTAGCTCCCAGAATTGCCGGAGAGGGAGGGCAGATGGTCCGATGGTTATAGAACTTAACTGCGAATGGAGCTCTGCCCATTTTCTAGCCCTGCCTCTGTACATCATGGAACGTCACCGGGTCTCAGTTTGCTCCATGGTGGAAAGGACCCTACTGGGACGTTGTGAGCCTAAATTCGTTCATCTTTTCCAGGTGCTTTGAGATCCTCCGAAGGAAGGTGCTGCAGAAGTGCACAGTGCTAGTGTTATCCAGGGATGCTGTTGGGGCTTTCTGAAGAAAGTAACATTTTTGGCTTAAACGGGTCGACAGTGTCCCTGTCCCTTGGAGCCACTCAACTCATGCTAACTTTCCCAGTCACACCCCACAATGTGCGACTGCTGCCTACAGGCACGTCTGCTCTGGAGGGCTACAACTGCAACCCAGTGGGGAAAACATTAGCCCAGGGTTATGACTCTTTCCCCCCGTCCCTACCTTCTGAGAGATAAACCTTGCAGGTGTCAGGGTATTCCAGGCACATGGCTGGGTATGGAGGAGATCTCTCAAAGCTTTGAGCTGAAAGCCTGGAGGGTTGGTTCCTTTTTTTTTTTTTAATCCTTGGCTATTTGCAGCTATGGGTGCTCCAGACTCAGTGAACGACCCAGCTTGGATGACATAGCCCTACAGAACGCTGCCCGTCCTGAGAGACCCCAGCTGGGGCAGCCAGCGCGTGTGCAGAATGTTTCAGGGCAGCTTTGTGTAGTCGAAAGGAAGGGAGCTCCGGCAGCTTTCTCTCCTGACTAACTGTGAGTGATGTAATGGCTGACCCAGGCCAACGGAGTCCCCAGCTACCGCTCAACGACTCAGATATTTTTGGCCGACACACGCGTCCGTGTTTATTTTTATAACAGCGCTCTGTGAATTTGAGGGCTCAGGAAGGTGAGGGGCCTAGAGCTGCGACCAGGTAGGTTCTGTGCAAGCTTCACACACACGTGCAGCTTTACCAGGGCACCTCTGTCCTGACCTGCGTGTCTCTTGCCTTCCGGGGCAGTGAGTATCCATCATGTTCCTCTCTGCTGTGGTTTGGATTAGGCTGAGACTGGGACTAGTTTAATTTGTGACTGAAACTAGGTCGGGACCCTGGTCTGGAAGGAAGGTTTGCTTGTATTTATTTAGCAAACACGTGCTCACATTTATGTTCAGATCTGCTCACATGGGCATCTGTCCATGTTATCATGAAAATGATAGCAAGTATACTGTGTGTGTGCCTATGGTGGGGAGGTGCTATGTATTTACTTTAGGATTATCTAGATCTTATCCTGCTGCTAGATATAGCACAGCATGTATCAGCCCTAAAAATTTAAGCATGATCTTTAATATAGCTACCGCCTAGCTTTATTCCCATGGGACATCTATTGCTGGTCCACTCTGCCCTGTCCAGGTAGCACAGAAGTGATTACGCTGTAAATTTCCTTTAGTTCTGTCAATCTTGCATAGATAATCTAAGCACTAATTGAATGAGCCCTTACTGGTAAATAGTGTCAGTGATTTCCTACTTCCTACCAGTTCTCTGCACACCCGTCCTCTCTGTGGAGAATACACACAGCACTAGACAAAGCGTTAGCATCACTTTTTTGTCTTACTTCCATCTCAACCAATCCAACCGTCATGTTTGGTAGGGGCCAGAATTTGACCTTCCACGTTTTTTTCCCCCTTGCATTGACTGGTAAAGTCCATGGCCAAGATTTTCAAGAGAGGTGAGTGACTTTGACTCCCGCATACCTTTGCCCTGAATATCAGGTCCCTTGACAGTCTTGAGGTAGGCATCCAAAATAGAAAGACAGCCAGAATCACTGATCTCGTGAGAAGAACTTGGCTTAGGTCACTCTCAATTAAAACATTTCACATCAAAGTCTTCATTGTTCTCTTGTTCTAAAAATAATTTATAAAGGGCAGGGGGAGGGGGAACCCAACCACTAAAACCAACAAGATGTATTGCCAGCCATCCAGCCCGCCCCTCAAAATAAGCCCTCCAATGACAAACCAGCACAAGGCCAACAACATATCCACAAGAAAATAGAATTCACAGGGACTCTTCAATTCAACTCTGGTGTGTGTGTGTGTGGTGGTGGCAGGGTTCATGAAACCCAGGTGTGTTTTTTGTGGGGTGAGAGAGAACTAGTTTAATCCCACAGTGTCAACTGGTTCCTGCTCTAGATAAAGGATGTGGCAGAATTGACTCAGAATAGCACGGGCAAGAGGGCTTTGCAAAAGAAAGAAATGCAGAAAATCCTGACTCCCAAGGAGGAAGAACGGGCGGGTGGAGGAGGGGCTTTAGAATAAATTGCTTACATTAGAAATTAATTAATTCTCTTAACTGGGTTTATCCTTGTTCCTTCATAGAATCCTAACAAATGTCAACATTAATATCGCTCTGGAGATAACACTCTGGTGATCACGGTACTCTACTAATAGAGCTCAGTCGTCATGAACCCCTGGGGAGCAGTAGTACTAATGGAGATCATTAATATTTTGTGACATCGGGTTACCAAGACCTGATTCCAAATCTACGGCAAATAACCTTTGACTAACAAAGAGCAGCACAACTTTCCAACGCCCAAGAGGCCGGGGAAGCCCACGTTAGACATTCATACGTTCAGAACGCCCAAATCACACAGGGAAGGGGACTGATCCTGGCACGTGCCGAGCACTCGGGCTCTAGTTCAGCAAAATACTTTAAGCAGGTGAGGAGACGAGACCCGTTGACTCATGGCACTGCGATTAGGGCCCAGCCAAAGGTGCGACCCACAGTCTGGGCTCTTTAAAATGCTACCTGTTCTGTAGGGAAATGGTTTCTTTGATCCAGGAACGTAGTGTTATTCAATGAGATTCATCGTGCAGCGGGAATGTTAAGGTGCAAGGTTTGTGACTGCAGTTCATGGGGGAATTAGCTTTCAAGTGGCACCTGGCACGACCTTCCACTCTTAGAAGTTGACCGGGGTGCTCAGCTTTGACCTCCCAAGGAGGATGACAAGAAACAGACAGTGTCGGCTCGTTTAGTGTCACGGTTTCAAATAATTATCTTTTATTACGAGAGACTCGTCAGATTGCTCACACTGTGGCAAGAATTTAATAATAAAAGGCACCGGGGAACATTCAGACGTAAAAAGTTCTCAGCCTGCGAGATCTAACCATCTCCTGTGAGTCTGTACGAGACCCGCTCCATAAAAACCCCAACTAAAACAAAACAAAACTGAAACACCACAACAGCTTCCAAAAAAAAAGCAAACACGTGCTTGTCTACGTCACGCGCATCTTTCTGAGCAGGGGCGTCACCTCCACATCGAACAGAGCGTCCCTGGTGGAGCAGGGCTGGAATTTAAGAGTGCCAGAGGCAGTGATGGGAAGTGACATGGGGAGACGTGTAATGTCGCGAAAGCCACGGAAAGCATTGTCTTGGCAACAGCAAGATCAAATAAAAATACCACCACCAAACACGTCAGCACCAAAAGCTAACTTTAAAGCATGGAAAACACAAGAACAGTACAATCACCGAGTAATAATAAAGCATGTAGCATTTTCAAACCTTTATTTTTAGAGGGGATTTTACATGATGTTTTTTTTTAACTTGTGCGTTTTTTTAAAAACTATTTGTGCCCAATTATTAATAAATTCAAGCCCTGGGAATTTAAATTTTGCCATTCTGGATCTTCAGTGTCTATCCCACTCCCTTCTCCATCCTCCCTAACAGGAACTAAAATCCAGCACCCCAAACTTTCACCACCAATTGCTCCACTAAACTTTGGAAAGCCCAATCTTCTAACATCCTCTGGATACATCTTCCCTCACTTGCCGTCTGGAAATCAGGGAGTTAATCCTCTGGGATGGCTTTGCTTTACATTGAAAGATCTGAAGAACATATTAGTAAGGAGTTTGAAAAAAAAAATCCAAGAGTGGATAAGAAGAGGGAGTAGCTATTTAGCACAGGAACAGGGCTGGTTATTGTAACTTTGTTGTCGAATCAGAGAGCAGAGAAGAACACGCTGAAATGGATGCGTGAGCAGAGTATTCTAGTGGTATTCATTAGGCTACTAACAATAAGTTGTTGTCTCTTTTAGCACCGTTAATATACGTTTAGATCTATATTAGCACCTTGTCCCCAGGGGAAAAAACAAAACAAAAAGGTTTAAAAATAAAAGGAAACAGGAGGTAAAAAAAAAAAAGGAGGCAACAGAAAAGGAAGCTGCTGGCTTAGATCACGAGGTCCTTGTCAATGTCCTCTGCAAAAGGAGAGAGAGAAGAAGTTAAGAAAGTCTTCACTAACATTCAGACTGTGCTAGATGTAACCCAGGCTAATGCCGTGTGGCTCTTTGTCCCCCTCTAGTGGTTACATCTCACATAGACGTTCATGACTACTACTGCCATCAAGTTCAGACTCACCCCTCTTCTGACTCCTTTCACGTTGGATAAAAAGGCTGGAAAGGCATGAAGGGGCTCTAAAAGAGGAGGAAGATTCCCCCAGCACCAGCATTGTGCAAGATGCCCTTTGCAAGCTCTGGCACAGGTGTGCCAGGGGGCAGAGCTGGTCATGGAAGGGGCATATTGAGGGAGGGATCACAGCATATAGCACATGCTTAATTTAAAGCCACTTTAGCACCCTTCTCCTCCTGAGCTGTGAGTTCTGCGCTGCAGAAAGCTCTCAGGATGGGTGCTTTAGCTCATGTGGTAGAAGTTCCCAGGGATTCCAAGGTTCTGACTCCACTGGGAGAGTCATTCCACACCAATTTTTTTGTGTGGGGGAGGCAGTGATCTGTTGGCTTTTGGCAGTGACTCCCACAGTTCACTTAGCAATAATGACCTCTAGGCAAGATTAAGGGGAGGTCACTCAGGCACTCTCTGAAATAGCAACGGTCGTGTTTGTTGCCTCCGAAGCACTGCCACCTATTCTGATATTCTTCATTTGCACACGCATTCTTTGGGGCCGGGCCTGTTATTTGCTATGTATTTGTACAGCACCTTGCACAACTGGGCCCAGCCTTGAGGTGCTACCACAGTAGAAATGTTAAATCATAATGAACAAGGCCTCGGTTAGGAATGAATTATCCCGCTCCCTTTAACGCTTACATTGAAGCCATGGGAGTTCGTTATGCCGGGGATCGTCAGCCTAATGAATCCTGCACGGTTCAGGAGGGACACGCGGTCCTTATTAAATAGGACTAGCGGTAATACAAACTAGATCCCTCAGTTCGCACCCACAGCGTTCACACGGGGCAGTTACAATGCAGTGCATTACTGCATGCTGCGGTTCCCTCCTCTGTAGTCCGAACGGGGTAGACAAAAGCCCTAACGCTGACTCCAGAAGGGGCAGAGCTGGGCCAACGCCTGGGCCTAGGATTTTCTCAGCCCTGTTTGCGACCGGGGCAGAGGTCACCCCGTGTAGGAGAGCGTTTTGACACGCAAAGGCATTCATTCTATCCGTGCTGTTATGTATGTAGTGCCCAAAGGGTGCCCGCCACTTTCCAGGCAGACAGGGAAAGGACGCCCCTCACCAGACTTTGTAAATGGTGCACAAATCTCCCCCTGCCTTTGCTGCTGCTTCCTCTTTAGCCCTTGGCCAGCTGGGATCTCGGAGAGCTGTCTTTGGACCGGTCCCACCCTTCCCTGCGTCCTGCCCGCCCCTTCCTCTACTGTCCCCAGCTGCTGCCAAGGCGGGGACGGCAGCTACTTACTCTCCTTGATGCCGAAGCAGCTGCCCCATTCCTCCAGGGCGATGTACTTGTCGTTGTCCAGGTCGCACTCTTCGAAGAAGCGGGTGGTGCAGTGCTCCATGGGGATGAGAGGAGCTCGGAGTGGGGCCAGCTCGGTGTGGGACAGGTACCTGCCGGGAGAGCCGAGATGGTCTGAGCCCAGGCCAGAGTCCCCCCAACAATGCACCACAGCCTCTCTCTGCTGATGGGGTGGGGAGTGTCGCTGCGCCCTCCTCGCCCCCCCACCCCCATGTGTGGCTTCTGGTACAGTGGGACTGCTGGGGAGGGGTGAGTGGAAGGGGGCGAGCAGTGTTCACAGGGGCATCCCACGGGGCTGCTGTCTCTGCTCAGACTGCTTCTCCCTCTTCCTACATCCCGTCCTCCCCTGGGCTCCTCTCCACATCCTCCCACCTGAGAACGCCCTCTGGACCCGCTCCAGGGTCCAATGGACTTCATGAAAGTCCTTCCATTGGCTTCAGTCTGCCCTGGGCCAGGCCTGGGCAGCAGGTCATGGGGCTGACTCCCCATCTCCTCCTTGGGGTCTGGCTAAGAGCAATGCCTTCCCTTGGAAACTGCCCAGCCGGTGTGGGACCTCATTCCCTCGAGCACTCGCTGGCCACCTGAGCCGTCCAGCACTATCCCGACAGCAACTCAGACACACGGTGTTTGTCCTGTCACAGCCCAGCGTGCTGGGGCACAGTTAGGGCTGATATGGAGCACAGAGCTCAGAGGGTTAATGATGGCTAACAAAGCTCCCCCTCTGCTCCATGTATTTATAGAGCCCTGTCATCCTCATCTTCACAGCAGGGCTTGGCATCCTTTTCCTTGCACAGCCCGTTCCTTCCTGCTAGCCGGCCCGTGCTGTGATCCGTCGCTGTCTGGATGTGAGCCAGGCAAAGTGCAGGCCTCTCCCCAGCAAAGCGCTGCTAATCGAGCCTTGAATACCTCAGGCCAGTCCCAAGCCCATGCCCAGCTTGGCTAGTTCACTGCAACCCTAACCTACCCATGTCCTTCCCGCTCCTGGGCTTCTCTGGAGCGCAGAACACCTGCAACCACGTGCCGTGGGTCTGTGACGTGCACAGACGCTCAGGGGCTGGGAGAAGACCGAGACACTCCTTGCACTTGTGACCTGCTCTGGGTGTGAGCCCAGCAAGCCGGCCGAGAAAGGCCAGGGAATCAGCCCCTGGCCCCGGCTGGGAGGGGAGTGCCGTACCCATCAATGGGATGCTGGTCCAGCTGGCCGAATTGCCAGTGCACGGGGAAGATGTACATGTTGTAGTTCTTCTCGAAGTCCCGGGCCAGCAGCTCCACAGTGTGCTCGCCGGCTTCCAGACGCTTCTCGTTCTCGTGAATCTTCTTCACCTGTTAAAGCAGAGACCTCGTGAAGCTGCCTGGTGGCTGCGGCTGGGAGCCCGCCTCCTGGACAGAGCCGCTGGGGCGGGGGTCACTGTCAGAGGGGGACAAAGAGGCTGGCTGGGCAGGGGGTTGCTCTAGGAAGATGGAGTGCTGACGAGCAAGAGAATTACTAGTGCATGTGTGAATGGGGGTGGGGGTGGGGTTGAGTTGCTCACTAGGGTGGACTTTGTGTGCATCCAGCAGCCTGCAATTAAGCTGGGATTCAGGGGTGCACCAGCGTGTGCTGGCTGGAATCCACCTTGACACTAGCGTGTGCAGAACCAGGCTGTGTGTGCGCAGAGCAGGGCTCCCTGCAGGCACCAGGGCTCACGGGATTGGGCCACCGCGGGCACCGGAGCGGGCTCCCCACATGTCCACTCACCTTGAGCTTCTGCTTCTCCGTCAGCAGGTTGTTGTCCTCGTCCCGCTCGTACAGGGTGACCAGCACGTTCTTGAGCCAGTCGCGCATGCGCAGGGGGAACTCGGTCAGCTCCGTGTCCAGGCAGGGAGGAATGTCTGGAACCCAAGCACAGAGCCGTCAGAACGGGGCCCTGCCCAGCTTCCCGAGTGGGACCGGAACCGTCCCTCAGCTGCAGTCGGCATCAGCGCATGGAGCGGAGCTGCTCCCACCCTGCCTCCTGGAGCAGGACATCGCCTCCTCTGCCCTTGAGCCGCTGGGAGGGGCTTCACCTCGGCTCTGCTGTTTGCTGCGGCCTGTTACAGTTTATGTACCTGGGTGTTTTGCTGCTGGGTTCATGGTCGAATTTCTACCCCCTGGAGCAGCACACGCTGTCTTGGGCACACCCCTACCTCCCTCAGGGCTGCTGGGACCAAACCTTCCATGCAGCCCACTGCCGGTGGCCCATGAATGATCCAGCCGTGGTGGCGGAAGGGGAAGTCTCTTCTAATTCCACCACGAATCTCTGGGCTCCGTGCAAAAACCACCAGGGGAAAATCCTATTGCAGGAGGTCAGACTAGATGATCATAGCAGTCCCCTCTGGCCTTAACTTAGGAATCCATAGACCTGGTGGCTCTGTGCTGTCGCCTCCCCCAGCCAAGCTAGCGTGAGCCTGCATTCTGGTTGCTGTCGCCCGGCTAAACCCCATCCCCTCCCCCCTTGCTTCCCATCCTGCCACCAGAAAAGTTGCCGGGGTCTTTGGTTTATTCACTTGAGCTTTCTGCTGCCACTACTATGAGATGTTGTGTGCTGCCTGCACGGGACAAGGACACCGCGGGAAGCAAAACACACCAGCCGCTGCGCTGACCAAGCTTGTTTTGGGAAGAGCAAACCACCGATTTATTGGCGAGCTGCAGACACCTGGGCCGGGGGCGGGGAATGGGAGAGGCGGAAGGAAAACTCTTTATATTTAGAAACAATTCTACGGTTCTTCTTGATCAGCCCCCTGCTACCAGGGATGTCTTCCTGAATGTCTTCTCCTGCTTGAGGGCTCTGCCAGCTCCTGCCACTTATTTCGCACCCAGAGTCCAAACCCTCGGTCTGTTCCCTGCCAATGGATTGCTGTGGAATTTATTCTGTTGCCCACGGAGGATTAAGGACGATCGAGTAGGGAATGAGCAGCAGGAGCGGATGAAAATCGGATGGCGTACAGATTCCATTTTCCTGCAGTGGTCCCTTGTGGCTAAAGAACATGCAGATAAATGTAGAGGATTGATCATCTGACATCTGGGTTTGTCGCTAAAGAGATTCAGCATCCCTCCACCAGGTGTCAACGGCCCTCGGTGGTTTACGGGGTCCTTAAATGCCTGTGAGTTTAGCTCCTAGCTCCTGTGCAAAACGGCAGGTCCCTACATGCAGCCCATGTGGGCTGCTGGTCCTTTGGGCACCAGATCCTCACTTTGAAACTCCCACTATCAGCAGGCGGCTGGTGCTGCTCCTAGAAACCCCAGCAAATGCAAATCAAGGTGCTTTCTGATACAGTCCTGTACGTGAGGGGTCTCTGTATGGTGCACTGTGTGATGAGCAGCTGGCTACAAGCCTTCCCACCCCTGCCCCCTGAATAACTCCAGCAGCATAAGGCTTAAGAGAGAAACGCTGGATAAAATACAGAGGCCTCATTGT